TATGAAATTTGGTGAATCGGCATTTTAGCCTAAATTTTAAATTTTAGTCTCAGCGCCAATGTTTTAAAAAGTTTTTTTTAAAAAGTTTTAAAACATCTAAAAAACTGATTAAACCGTTTTTTTTTCATCCCTAGTCGCATTGCAACAAAATATTGTCGTATAATATCACACGTCATATACTTCAAAGGGAGGATTAAAATTTATTTATTTTACAAGTTAATCGCTTGTTTCATCTTATTTTTTTTTCCATTGAAGTATGTATACAACTTTTTCATATTCGATCTTCATTATTATCTAAGTAAATTTTTTTCATGAAACAATCTTTTACAAACTTTTGTCTTTTCAACCAGTTTGTTTTCAGAAAGAAGATTTTCAAATGCACATCGTTAGATGAAGATGATGAGTTTATGATTTCTTTATTCTGTTTAACCAATTTTTAGTTAATTAATTCAAAATTATATTGTTATTTATGCTTACCCTTTTTATCCAGTAGAATTAGTCTGCAGCTTCTACAATAATTGTTGCAATTTTTCGTTTCTGAACTGAAGAATAATAGATTTAATAATGATACTTCTGCACTGGTAACGTTAACTACAGGAGCCTCTTTGGCTCTTTCAACTCACATCATCAATTTCAATTTTTCAATTTTTGCATCATTTTCGGTTAAAGAAGGTTCAATGAGTGAAAGAATTAAAAAATGGATGCATTATTAAAAGAGACGTTATACAAATTTCAATAACGATGGAACAGATTTTTTTTAATGGGTAATAACAATATACCGATTTTATTGTGGGTCAATAACGATGACCCAAATGAGTCAATATCAATGTTTTTCGGCACAAATTATTAATTAGAAATCACAATTCCGAAAGATTCCTCAGTATATATACTAATCTTCTACAGTTTAAGTACTTTTTAGAAAAAGTTTTATTAAAATTGTAAAACTCATAGCCAAAACTCATTCAATTAAAAAATTTAATAAAATTATAAATTTTAGTGAAAGACTTTTTTTAGCTATGAAGACCTATAACTACAACAAAAGTTTCTACGTAGTTCTTTTTATTTTCTTTTTTCTAAAAATGCTGTAATACGTACGTAATAAGACGATCAGCCTCTTATAAGGTATCTGTACTATCAGTACGTAACACCGCAGCCACTTATTTGTGCAATACAAACTTCCAAAAAGGAAATGGCCAATCAGAGAACAGAAATTTTGGGTTTTCCGGATCACTCCGACATAGAATCCGAACACGTGCGAAAGAAGAAAAAAGGAAAAGAATGCGAAAATACTCAAAAACTAGTGTTTAAATCGACCTTGGTGAATTAATAAAAATAACGGGAATGAAATTTTACATATAAGAAACTCTAACTTATTGCTAAAGCTCACAACCCTAAC